GAGGTGGGTGGATTGCTTGAGCTCAGGAGTTCAGACCAGCCTGAGCTAGAGTGAGACCCATCTTTAAAAGTAGCCGGGCATTGTGGTGGGCACCTATAGTCCCAGCTATTCAGGCAGCTGAGATAAGAGAATAACTTGAGCCCAAGAGTTGGAGGTTGCTGTGAGTATGACTCCAGGGCACTCCACCCAGGGCACCAAAGTGAGACTCTGTCTCAAAAAAAAAAAAAAAAAAAAAAAAAGAGCTCTATCACATGTCCTCTTTACATTTTAATTCAATTTATTATCTGTAGTAGGACAATTTATAGTTTGGTGAGAGAATTTTCAGATATATAAAGTAATAGTTTTAGAAGAATATTGAAGGAAGAATTGCTGTAGTTTTGGTTGGATCCCCAGACTTGCCCTCAAATGGAGTAAAATTTCTTTGGAGAAAGGAGACAAATGCAGAAAAGAAAGGCAAGATTGTGGTGCCAAAATATTAAGTGTAAGTGTTTAGATAAATTAAGGAAGGAGGAGCTTCTGAGTTGGTTCAGTTTAAGAGTCAGTAGGGCATGAGCTCAGCTCTTGAAGGACGTGTGGTTAAATTTGGTGTAGATTCTCAGGGAAGGCTTTCAGTGAGAGAGTGGGAGGATTTTGATGGTGGGAACAGGGCCATGGAATCGGGTAGCAGGGAGCCTCTGGCTGGTCAGTCCCTCCACACCCCCCGTGCCCACTGGACACTTTGTAGGCCATAGCCACCTAACTCTGTGTTTATGTGTTTAAATTCCCTTCCCTCCAGGAGTCTTCAGGATTTATTTGGCCTGTTTACCTTTTTCATGTTTACCTTTCATGCCTTTCATGTTACCTTTTTCCCCATCTCATTTCCTTTGTACAACAGGACACAGATTCCCTCTGCCTTCCCTACCCAGTGTTTCTGACACACACAGGTGTGCGCACGCGTATGCAGGTCAGGCTCTTAAAAAGAGATTATTGTTGCAATAGGGAATTAAGGGTTAAAAAAGAAGAACAAAAAGAATCACAAAAATCGTCTTAAAATGGCCATGGCATGTTGTTGCTTGATGCAGATGCTCTTGTGACTACCTGTACTGTACTACTGGGGAATCTCCTCCAGTTCCCCGCTTAGGCCTCTGCTCTCTCTGGGCCACGCTGCGGCAGACCAAGACATGCTGACTGAAGATCCCTGACGGCGCAGCTCTTCCAGGAGGGCTGTGACTAGCTGTTCTTCTCAGGAATACCTTCCCCATCTCTTCTCAGGTTTTCCCTTCCCTGGGTAGCCTCAGGCCGTGCTATTCTTCCCTCCCAGCAGCTTATCCCAACAACATTCTGGGGCCCTGGGGCCTGAGCTGAGGCTGCCTGTAAGCCATATTTGGCCTCCAGATAATTCTTCCCTTAAGCTTCCTGCCTTCAAAACTGACCCGGGCCTTGCTTATTTCCTTGCTTTGCAGGAGGGTTCTTTGGCCTTGTATTTCAAAGTACTGTCTGGTTCGGATCTTCCTAGCCTCTGTGAGCCCTTGGTAATGAGAACCATCACCCTATGTATTTTATTTTGCAAACTCTTTTATAGCATTTTGAATGTCTCAGGCACGTTCTGAGTGCATTCAAAAATTAGCTCATTTAATCCCAGATGAGTATTGCTGGAATTATGTCTATTTTCACTGATTTAAGCCCCTGACAGACTCATTTTTTTTAATGCTGCAAACAATTTTGCTCCCAATAGATATTTTAGTGGGTTCCTGTTTAGTTTGGGTGTGCCTCTAATTATTGGAGTTTTGGAAAAGCAGAGTTTATGTTCTTAGTCTTTGTCCCACGGTTACCAGCTTTCCTCACTTTTTTGACCAGTTTCAGTGTCAGACTCTAACGCCCATAAAATACACTGATTCACTAAGAGAAATAAAAAGAAAACTTTCTTTTAAGTATGTAAAGCTTGTATGAAACCAGGAGTCTATTTTTCATTATTTTAAATGGAAAAGAAATAAAATTGTAGTTTAACCCAAAGCCCTAACCTATTTTACTGAAATGTAACTAGATATAGCAAAATGCCTATATGTACAAATCACAAACCATCATATTAGGACATAGTATTTGAAATTCTCTTTCCGATCATGGAATAGTTGACCATGATTGTTACTGAGCAGCTGCTGTGCACCAGCAGCAATGTCAGCAGCGTGTCTCCTTTGTTGGCACTGGGACATTTTATTTATTTTTATTTATTTTTATTATTATTTTTTTTTTTTTGCAGTTTTTTTGGCTGGGGCTGGGCTTAAACCCGCCACCTCCAGCATATGGAGCCAGCACCCTACTCCTTTGAGCCATAGGTGCTGCCTTGACACTGGGACATTTTAAACATGTCAACCTGTGACTGATGGTCTAACAGTTTTATTTGGAATATGACTTCAATCTTTTCTCACACAATATTTTGTTATAAATATATTTTATTTTGGGAATGCATATAGAAATTTTTCTTATGTAAACATGATACTTTCCCTCCCCTTCCCCCAAACAAACTGACATTGAAAGGTATGTGTTCTCTGCTATCTGCATAGTAAAACCCAAAAGGTATTCCACCAGAAGCCTGTTAACCCAGAAGATATTCTATGGAATATGCTTTATTAAGTGACTATTGCAAAATTAAAGCATAACTTAAAAGTCTAAGAAGACTGGATGTGGTGTCTCATACCTGTAATCCTAGTACTCTGGGAGGCTGAGATGGGAGGATCACTTGATCTCAGGAGTTGAAGATCAGCCTGAACAAGAGCAAGACCCTGTCTCTGGTAAAAATAGAAAAAAATTAGCTTGGTGTGGTGGCTTATAGGTATAGTCTCAGCTAATCAGGAAGCTGAGCAGGAGGATCACTTAAGCCCAAGACTTTGAGGTTTTTGTGAGCTGTAATGCCATGGCACTCTACCTGAGTGACAGGGTGAGACTGAGTTTATAAAAAAAAAAAAAGCCTAAGAAGATAATTTTTAAAAGTTAAATGTGAGAGAATCTTTCATTATTTAAATATGGGTATTCCCAAGTGCAATTATAGAAAGTCAACTTCCTTTTATTATTTTTTTGAAAAGCTCAAATCATTTATGGTCAAACCAAGCTGACTATGGTTAAACCTTTAGGACGACCGGGGTCCTGGGACCCTTAGAGTGTGTGCTCCTTGGTCCAGGCCTTGGGCTTGGGGTTCATGTGTGTACAGACTTCAGCTGTGGTGCAGTCTGCTCTGGTGACTCCCCTGAAGTCCAAGTGGTGATACAGGGCAGGGTGCACAGCACACAATGCCCATACCTCTTCTCTTCTTCTGTGGGGTTCCCGTGGAGTGTTAGGCTCTGGAGCCAAGGGAGGACGGCCTCGGATGCTGTTGCCACGAAGGTAGAAGATGCTCAGGTTGACGGAAGTTGTTAGGACTGGGTCTGTGGAAATCAAGTCATTAAAGCACAAGTCAATATTTTCATTCAATTTTTATTTTAGTTTTAAAATTTCTATGATTCGTGTTTTCTTTCTTTTTCTGGTCTGTTCAATTATGTATCTAGAGCTTGAGGAAAAGAGTTTAAACGCTTCTTTATGAATGTTACTTTGCTTTTCTACTCTGCTAGTCATTTTTTGTAGGCTCCTGTTCCCTAAAGGTATTTATTTTAATTTTGTAAGTGTAGTAAGCACAGTTGTTTTTTGCCCCAGTAGTTAAATGCAATACTTACATCTGTGGATCTGTTTATGCTGATTCCAACTTTTGTGTGTTTTAGGATATGTAAGACTTTTGTTTTTATTTTTTGTTTAATTTTTTTCTTCCGTGATCTGCTCATTATCCTTAAAAATTATTTTTAGGAATTATTTGATTGCTAGGATGAGGTATCATACCAGAGAGGAGTTATGTTTGTTTTTGCCAGATATTTGTGGGTGCCATCCACCTGAGAACACTTTGTACCACAATCAGAGGTTAGGCTTCTAAGATCACTCAGTTGGGGGAATCCAGGCTGCCATTCCAGGAGGGCTGCCCTGGGGCAGTTTTTCAGAAACAGGTTTGTTTTCTCTGTCCCCTTTCCCCAGTTCTGCTTAATGGCTAAGGCCAACCTTCCTTGCAGTCCCAGGGAGCAGGGAGGTTTATTTTTATTCGTATTTGTTTATTTATTTTGAGACAGTCTCACTGTGTTGCCCTGTGTAGAGTGCTGTGACATCACAGCTCACAGCAACCTCAAAGTCTTGGGCTTAAGTGATTCTCTTGCCTCAGCCTCCCAAGTAGCTGGGACTACAGGTGCCAGCCACAACGCCCAGTTACTTTTTGGTTGTAGTTGTCATTGTTGTTTAGCTGGCCCAGTCCGGGCTGACCAGCCTTGGTATATGTGGCTGGCACCCTACTTACTGAGCTACGGGCACTGAGCCAGCAGGAAGGTTTAATTCCAGTTCATCTTTACCCCAGAGAGTGAGGGTCGCAGCTTAGTCTGGGAGGGCATGCGACTTTGGTGTTCTCTTGGTTACTTCTCTTTTTCAGTTTTCCCTAAATTCTGCCCCGGTTATTTCTTACTCTCTTGTGACTTTGGTTTTTGAGATTTCCTCCCCCTCCCCCATTTTATTTGATAGTTTTTTTTCAATAGGAAAATTGGAACAAACAATCTAGCCCACTGTTACTAAGAAGTGGAAATCTTCCTTATTTGCTCTTTATCCTGTGAGGTTTACGTGGCAGATAACACATGTATGACTGGGCTGTTTTTATAATGGGTGAGAGCACTGAGGCTGAGGGAGGTGAAGTGACTGATTTAAGATCATAAAAGTAAGTGGCACAGCCTGGAACTCCTGAGTATGTGTCATTCTCTTTCCACCCCAACTCCCTTTAAGCTGCTTGCTTCTGATGGATTCAGATTTTGAATGAAGCAGGCATATGCTGAGGAGATTTTTCAAAAGTATATAATACCTTTGTAGAATTGTTCAGACCATTGACTCCTGAAGGTTATATCGGTGCAGGTCTTTACAGATCTGGCACTTTTAGTGGAAAATAATTGTAATTTATTTTCTTTCAGCTGAAGTGAGCAGTGAATATAGTATGGACAAGGCGATGATTGAATTTGCTATAATGGATCGGCAACTCAACCATTATGTAAAAGCTGTTCAATCTGCAATAAATCATGTAAGTTTATACCACTCACCGGGTCACATTTGGTTATAGCTCAATGACCTAGAAATAGAAACACAAAACCAAAATTCTCCTCTAACCTTTAATACTTGTTTATACTTAGTGTGGCAGCTATTAATTTCCTCTTAAGAAGTCTCACAAAATGGGACTCTTAAATATTTCCCTGGCTAGGCCACCTAAGTTAATTAGCATATTAAATCTATTTTAGATTGTCTTGCATTTTTTTTTGTCTTAAGATTTTTAGTATAAGACTTCTTCGAATGAAAGTAGATTTTTATGACATGCTAAAAAGTGCATGCAGCTTATTTTTGTTGTATTTGCTTAATCATGCAATTGAGAGCAGATTTAGTTACTCATTCTCCAGCTTTAACTAATATGCATCTATTGCAAAATTCTTAGAATCAGATAATATGGAAGAGTTTTAGAGCAAGTTTAAAAATAAAGAAGGCTGGCTTTTTGGGTTTTCCAGAAGCCAGACTTATCTTTGTTGACTCCAGCTGTCACAGGAACACACAAGGCAGTTAAGGTGGGAAGGCAGCAACATCCTTTTCAGTAGTACCGTGTTGAGTAAGAGTGAGCAATCCGATTGCAGTCATGTTTCTGAGAAGTCCTTTGTCCTCTCAGCAGTGGAAACTCCCTGTTGAACCGATTTCATATACCTGTGTAGTAGGGCGTCTTGTACTTCTGGTTTCTTTATTTGCCTTTTCTTATTTACAGCTATGGGAAAATTCAGAAAATTAAATACTTTATAAGATCAGCTACTATTCAGAGGAAGATAAATTTTTTAAACACAGTTTAATAGTTAAGCCAATAAAGTGAGCATTATAGTTATATTAAGTTTTTCTGGGTTTCTTCTTTTTTAATTTTTTTGCAGTTTTTGGCCAGGTCTGGGTTTGAACCCACCACCACAGGTATATGGGGTTGGTGCCCTACTCCTTTGAGCCACAGGTGCCGCCCGTTTTTCTGAGTTTTTTATGGTTAGTGTTTATTAAAGTAGTTATTTGTGACTAACTGTAAGGATATCTGCTTATGTCCAAGTAATAAACTCACTTAGTTCATAAAATTGTGATGTTTCTGGCCATTATGACTGATAGTCATGATCCCGTGTATATTTCTTCTATAGGAAAATATGACAATGCCATCATGTTAACATTATATTTGAAACTTGATAACAAATAACTTAGACCAGAGGCTTTTAGTTCTAACTGAACCCTGGAACCAACCAGTTTCTACCTTCAGAGATTCTGATTTAATTAGTCTTGAGCAAGATTGGAGCCCGAGTATTTTCTAAAAACTCATTCTAATATGTATGCAAGGTTGAAAACCACTGCCTTAAAAAAATAAGACTGACTTTATAGAATAAAGTCAAGTGCGTCTGCTACAGAAGTCACACTCAAGCCTCTCATATGGATCTGTCTTGCTTTAAACCTTACATTCTATGGAGCTTATGTGACACCAAGAATTGAACTTTCTCCATTTTCAAGAAACTGAGTCACTTATTAAAGAAAAAAGTTGGCTCGGCGCCTGTGGCTCAAGCAGCTAAGGCGCCAGCCACATACACCTAAGGTGGCGGGTTCAAATCCCCAGCCCGGGCC